TTTTCCCAATTCCAGCAATCTAAGGAATGTTACAGATGGGCAGCAATCTCTTTTTGCTTTACTAATGTTAGTCCATGAGCGTACAGTCCAATACGAACATATGACCCAATATACCGCAATGAAAAATCTGCAAGCGGTCTAGTGAATCACCCCATCTCAACAGTCAGTGTGATAGATCTTATAGATTTCATACTGCAGATTTTGGATATCAGTATACCTGGACAGGTACCACTCACCACAGAGCAGAATCCATAACATGTGCAGTGGGTCCCTAGAAAAAAAGGAAACAAAAATAACTTACCCACTCAGAGTTGTACCAATGTATGTAGAATGGCTACAGGGAAAAGACGATATATAGCTGAACAGGAAACCCCCAAATGGTGCAAGTAGCATAACACAAAGCTCTGGGAGTGGTCCACATGCCAGCCTGGATAATCTCCTCCAAAGGATGATGGAAACGAGCAGCCATGAACATTGGTAGGTGACAGATCAGATGGGACGAAAAACTGAATAATTGACAATATTCAGGAGAAAAGGAGTGAGAGCCATGCAAAGGTGATATGCACAACACTTAACACTGTAAAGCACAGACTGGACACAGAAGATGAACTGGATCAGAGCAGGAGGAAATATGGGATACAGAAGAAAGAGAAAAGGGGTAGAGGCGAAATCTCCTTTGCAGGAAGATTATGTTTTGTGAAGGAAAAAATGGTCTGGATGTGAAAGGATATAGGTGTGAAGGAAAAAATGTGGTGAACATCAATGGCACAAAAGTCTGACACAAGCCAAAAGGAGAAGAAAATACGTCTTCAAAGAACATGAGGTTAGTGGTTAAAAGGGAGGAAGAGAAAGGGCATGGAGAACAATATTCAGATTCCAATTTGGCAATTTGAGAAGTACAAGGAGGACAATGGCAATGCATAGAGCAAAATAAAAGGCAAATAACTGGATAGGAAATGGTTGAAATGGATAGACCCACACCAAACAACCATGTAAAAAATCAGATATCTGAGGAAGAAGAGAATCCATGCTGGACAGACCAACAATGGAATATTCTCCACTCACAATGATATACAGACATGGATGAGAAATGGACAGTGAGACAACAGGGATGCTATCTTGTGGATAGTCCTTAACCCCTCACAAGAGACCAAGACAAAAGCCACGCATGAAGACAGAGAGTGGAAATGGTGGGATGAAGCACCCCTGAGTGAGGTTGCCAGAGAGGGAGAGATAATGGAGGTTGTTCCTGGAGAAGGGACAGAAACCACAGTTAAGCTGGGCAGAAAGGAGCCACAAGAAAGACTCAACATGGAGTGGATTGGAGGAGATATTACACAGGGTAGAAAACGGATGGGAGGGTATGTATAAAGGAAAAGGTCTTTCCAACCCTATGTGAATACAGCCAAAGCCAAACGATATGGAACTGGGGACCAAAAGAGAGGAATTTTAGCATTCAAACAAGTGGTAGGTGCATACAGTTGGGGAGTATCCAACTGAGAACATCGTCATTAGAATACCTGGAGATTGAGAGACCACTCCATGGGTAGAACCATGTCAGGACAGGACAGATGAAAAGTGACAATATTGAGGGCACCCAGTATGTGACAAGCCAGCAAACGAATTTTATGGCTGTCAGCCCAAAAGTGGAACTCTGGAGTGTGGGAACATAGGACCAAGATTGAGTGCCCCCTTTTCAGGTGAGGTAAGAGACGATTGTTGAGTTGTGGGAATGAATCATAACTGTCATACCCTGCAAAGATGACAGAAACACAACCATCACCCAATGAACAGTAAAGAGTTTCAAAAGGTTGATGTGAAGACCTCCTTCCTCCCGAGACTAATGTCCCTGAGATCTCCTGTGTATCGTAGCACACACCCCATCTTCAAAATGTGGCATCTGTGAAAACATGGATATCTGGATGGGAAGGAGGAATAGGTACCCCCACTGTCGTGCTGTCATTGTAACCACAAGAGGAAGTCTGATGGATGGGAAGCAGGAAGGGATAACTGTAAATCCAGAGGGTCCATGATGAGGTGGCATTAGTCTTATAGTACTCACTGCAAGGAATGCATGTGGGCATGGCCAAGAGGGATAAGAGCCTCCAGTGAGACCCAAGTTTCCAAAAGAGACAGAACCTCTTGTGCATGAAGAGAAGGTGCTAGTAGTGCTCGCTGAACTAAAAACTCCATAGCTCACAGACAAAGAGGAAAATACTGGATTCTACAGAAATGGGAGTTGAAAAAACACCTCCAGAAGAACAAGATATTAGATGAGGTGGATAACAGACTTCTCCACCTACATAATCCAACCCACCCAAGCAGCTTCTTTGATGAGAAGTTGAATGAGTGTGAAAGACTCTGCAAAAGATGGAGCCAGCCATATAAAGATGAAAATTGAGCCCACAAAAATGTAGGAATTGGGCAAATGACCAGACCATCTAAAAAAAAAGTCAATACCAGCCCAATAGGAAGAGCTCAGAATTGATAAATATGATCCTTGTGGTCAAAACGTAGGTAATGATGTGAAGTCTGAACAATAGCAATGTGAAAATATGCATCTGACACATAGAATATCGTTATCTAAAGCCCTGAAAGAAAGGCCCATCTAAGAGACAGGTACGATTCCACAGTGAACCAAGGCATGTCGAGGAAACATTTCAAATGGAAGTGATCAAAAACAGGATGCCAATACCTGGTCTTCTTGGGGATGACAAAAAGTCAGGAATAGAATCCTGGAAGCATAGGAGAAACCTGTTTGATGGCACCCTTGATGAGAAGGTCTTGAACTGCTTCTATGAGACGCTGCCGGAAAATGGGATTTTGAGAGAGGAAAAGAACTGGGACAGGGGATAAAGCAGGTGTGAAAAAAGAGGTACAGTCCTTCTAACAAAACTTGAATGACCCAAGGGTTTGCTGAATGATGTTATGCAAGTGCATGAGCCTCTGAAGTACACAGGGAGGTGGGGGTGCAGCATACTAACCCCTGCATGTATTGATTGCAAAACTTTCAGCATGGACCCCAATATCAAACAAAGGTGGAAGAATCAAAAACTCAGAACTAGATGCTGCAACTAATAAGGAAGGGATCAAAGAACAAGTATGACAAAGATAAAACAATACATACCTGTGATATCAAATTTAAAATATGGTGACTGAGGTATAGATGCTTCTACAGGCTGAAAACATGTTTGCACAGCAAAAGAAGGGGGGGGGAACTGTCCAAGTCCACATTGTCCTCAGGAAAAGGCAGAATTGCTTTTAAGTTGGGAAATCTCTTGGCTCACAAGAAAGAAGCCATCTCCCAACAAACTATGGCCAACACTTCATCCACTGATAACATCTCACCTGCAGCCAAATATACTGTTGGTGTGAACGTGCTTTGTATTCACTATGAGGAAAACCTATACACTGGATGGGTGAAGTGAAGAAAAAGTGTCATTGGCCACTATTCAGTTCTTCACATTATATAGCCACATAATAGCAGATATAATAAATAAACTTAGTATTCCAAAATTTGAAAGTCAAAGTTCAAGGGATGTACAGTTCAATCTACACTTTGATCAACGTGTGTTATTGGGTTATACTAGGACGATGTTGCATTCCAATTGGTTGAGGACTGTCAGATGCTAATTTGCATGTTTAAATGCAGCTGAACCATATGATATACATGTGGAATTAGGTGGGAGTTTCAAGGCTAATGACAAGTGAAAATTTGAGCACTAGAGGGCAGTCTAGTCGAGAATAACTGTAACTGTGAAAGGAGGTTATAATTTACTTGGCTTTCTAATTAAGCTATAAATTAAAATTATTCCATTACTCTTTGGAGCACAGACTTCAGTCTACACCAAGCCTCAACAAATCCCGGGCACCAAGTCACCATAAAAAACAAAATTCAGAGTTCATAGGGTCACATGACACAAAAATGAAGAATGGGAATTTATTTAAATTAACAAATTAAAAATTTCGATAATACAAAAATTTAATCATAAACGTTTTAATGCCAAGTTTATTGACATACATTGCTAATAAAGTTTTGAATGTAACTCTGTAAACGTCATGAAATGCTCACATTAACCACCCCCTCACCTGTATCCAGAGCATTAATAAATTATGATATCCAATGCACATCATAAACTAAATTTGACGTACAGCTACTTATTTTTCCATTATTATGTAATTTGAGGTGCTAGTATTTCCTCTACTGTACCTTAGCTAGTTGAATCACCTGACTGTTACTTATGTTGCCTGAATATGATGCAGATCACATTAAACACACTGTTGAACCACTGGTTTCTTTAAAAACAATTCTAAATATTCTGATAACTTCAACTGCTAATAACAACATATATATAGTTAAAAGATACTTTCTATGCACCATAGATACACATTCTCTGTAAACATCATGATACATTTTGTATTACTTTCTAAACAGCATGCTTTATTTTCATCTTAAACTAATGAATATTCATATTTAATAATAATTTAACCAATTTTGAATTCATCTGAAATGAAAATAATTCAAAACTACATATGTAACATAGCAAATACATAATATCAAGGTATTGTTATAACCTTTTAATGGTGATGAGTATTTGTGATTAAGATTACATATAACACACTAACAAAGAAATTATTTCATCAGTATTGAATGTGGTTCCCAAACTGAGTATCTACTGACAGAACAAATTAGTAAAAATATTGTGGAACCACTTTATGATAAATAGAAAACCTCAAAAAATAAAACATGTTAGCTGTATTAAAAATGATATGCATTTTCTGACTACTGGGAAAAATATTTTACAAAAATACTTTAGTGAGACTTTTATTGAAGACACTACTATGGCAAACAAAAGCTCAATAAATGAAGTAAAACATGAACTAGGTAATATTTACAATTAATAAGTAATAAAAGATTGCTTACTCATGTTAAAATGTATTCAACTCTAAATCCAGAATTTTCAGTAGGTAAACTTTCAAAAAATGTTCTGTCAAGTTACCTCAATGGAATGCTTCAATCGTGCAACTTCTTTCTCCAGACTCTTTTTTTTCTGCTCTAGCTTATGGTTGTCTCCTTCCAGGTTGGTTGCCTCTCTTTCCAGTTCTTGTACTTTGTGTGTATTTGCCCGAAGATTGTCAACCATTTGTTTCAAATGTTGATTTTCTGCTTCTACATTCTCTATATCTTCCTGTACTTCCTGTATTTTATGCTTCTGGACTTCCAGTTGTCGATGTAATCGTTGATTTTCAGAACTTTGGGCTGTCATTGAAATTTTCATTTCTTCACATTGTTGATGTTCTTTCTATCAAACAATTTTTTACTAAATAATTATTTGATATAACAGTCTTGGTTTATGATGATACAAAAAAAAAAACACAAATGTAATAAATAAAATATTGAAACCACTTTCAGTATTCACTTGATACCTGATTTCTAATTCAAATAACAAGAAGCTTTCTTAAAGTTTAACTGATTTAAAGTAATTTCACCTCTACATAATAATTATGAGTACTGGTTAAAAACAAAAACTAAAGAATGTACTCTACTACATTAAATTGTTCATATCTGAAATGGTTGCAACCATTAAAATATAAAAATTTTGAAATGAATTCCAGTAACTCCAAACACACCTGTAACTCTAAGAGATCATGCTGAAGCTTCTTTATATTCCTGCATGCCTCTTGCTTCTCAGCTTCTGTCTCATCAAATTTTGTCTTTGATCTCTGCAATTCCCCAATAGTTACTTTTAACTGCTGTAATTCTCCTTGAAGCTGCTCCTTTTCATTCGCAATTTCTTGTACATGATTCTCCTTAAGAAAATTTACAATTTCTTAAATCTTTAATTTGCTCTAAATACTAATATCTAAAAAACAATACCTATAGAATTAACACTTTTGCTACGGACTCAGTTGAATCGGCCACAATTGTGACTCCAAATTGACCATTATTGTTTATATACTATAACTCCTAATAAACTCTCTCTATTTTCATAAGATTTTACCAGCTTTCAGTAAGCATTAATTCGTTTGTAGACTAAAAATCAGAAGTTTTAACAAGGTATTTTCACTAAACATTTCTCCATGAATATATGGAGTCACAGTGTTGAATGCTCTAAGTGCAAAGTGATTTTCATGTTCCGATTAAAAATACTTTTTTCATCTGAAAATTGTCAAATTTCACTTTCATAATCTATAAAATCCCCTAAATAAATTTCAATCATTATTTTTCAGTGAATCTTTATATTTTGTCTGTTATTTTCTCTACCCTAACTCTATATCAGGTTGTTCAATTCGACCGACCTTGTAACCACCACAATAAATACTTAATAAATCTAAATAACCATTTTTTTTCTTTCTAGAATGACTTCAAATTTTAACATGAGACTATATATGTTTATAGTTTCAGAATCAAAGATGACACTGTTTGGTTCACATTCAACTCAGGACACACCCTGTGTATCCATAAGCTTTCTTTAGTGCAAAGCATTGTTTCATTGACCAAGATGCTGAAATCGCTGGTTGTAATTCCAATGTCACAGTCTTGCAAACAGTAACAAAGAGTGGTAGACTGATTATATAGTGTATTTTGCACATGTTCTTTAATTCCTGAGCTCAAACAGTGAACTGTAGAGCCCACATGGCTACGGCTACACCTTGAATATGTAAATTTGTAGATGACTTAAGAGTGATGCAGTTTAGGGATCCTGTCTTTAAATTTGAAATAATTATATATATGACATGTTGGTTTCAAAACAATTCTAAGCTTAATTTGTGGAAAAAATTTGTTCTTCAAAATCACTTTAATCTTCTTCTTCAATTATATTGTATGTAAACCAGTAAAAGTTAGAATACAATAAACTATTTTTTTAGCTTCAACATGTTTACTGATTTTAGAAATGTATAGAGCTTTCAAATAGTACTGTTATGACAGCGGAAGTCACATGATGCTGGAAGCACGCGCGCTGGAGTTTCTAGAAGGATCATGACTGTTCCTGGCAAACTCTAGTCTTTTCTCACCCTCTATTTTAGTATATAAGCCTGGCTAATAAAGCGGAGATATTAATTGCAGATAGATGGAGATAGAGACAGATAATTGAGTCAAGTGAGTGGTAGTGACGGTAAGTAAAGTGCGTGAATTGTTGTGAATTATAGCATGTGTTCAAGTTAAAGTG